GAAGTGGTTTGCCAGAGCCTCCTTCCTAGAGCAGAGCCCAGCTGGCGAGCGCAGGAGGCGGGGTTTCCGTTGCTTTGCGCCTTTTTTGGGCATGTGCAGCTTCCGTGTTACCAGCAACTGGTCCTGTCTCCTTTGCAAGGCGCCGTCAGCATTTTTCCTCCCACCGGGGTGAGAGTACCCATTTATCTACTCATGTCAGTTTTTGAGCTGCTGGGTTGGCAGGAGCTGGGGAAGAAGCAGGAGCTCACTCTGCTGTGTGGAGCTGGGCTCGAACCACTGAAGTGTCGACCATTTCTGGTCGGCAACTTTCAGTGTCATTAAGCCGCTGCACCACCGCGTCCCCCCATAAAATTATTGGCAGACCTTTAATCCCTAATTAGTTTCTTTATTCTCCTTTGATAACATCAATATCACTGTACCATAACTAGGGCAATTTCCAGATTTATAGACTTCAACTCCCAATATTCCTCAACCAGTTTGCTGAGAATGCCAGGGAGTTGAAATACCTGCATCTGGAAGCTGCTCACTGATTCACTGAACTATGCTAACAACCCATCTGGACACCATCACAAGCTTTACCATGATCTTCTGGGAAAAGCATATACCTTACAGATCATTAATAGGTTGTTGTTGCTTCTTATGTTATTAATTTTTTCCCCTTCATGTAACAGGTTTTACAAATATCAATTACTTTTGGTTAGGTCAGAATGATTGCTGATATTCCATCTTTGTGAGCTGTAAGTTAAGAAAAAGCTCTGCATTTGAACATTTTTAAAATTCTCATTCCCCACCCCACCCCACCCCAACTCCACAGAATTTTGCCTTGCATTTCAGTTCAAATTAGGAGCAAACAACCATATTTTATGATGATGGCACAGAAGAGAAATGATCCATGTGACTTCTTGCCAGCCCTAACATCTGTTTACATGACCATTTTAATCCCAGGTTTTGATGATTTTCTGCTATCCTACACTGGGCTTCATCCTCAGATCATGTGAATATTATTGGCTGTACCATTCAGCAAAGAGAGGAAATATCTCAGGCAGCATATTCTGGAAGAAGGCTATTCCCCTTCTAAGACAGTGCTAGAATGGGGAATCTGTGTGCTATGCAGCCAGCCTCCATCCTTTAAGCATGTTTGCTGCCTTTAGAGGATAACAGAAACATTGTCAGAACATTAATTTTGAAAAAGAATGGAAAAGCCCTTTTCTTCATATGTTCTCAGAGTATCCTTACATATACCGTAACAAAGTCCAGCTGCACTGGGAAAGTTGGGCAGGTCATCTACAATATCATCTGGAAGAAAAGTCAGTTTGGCATTCTCCCACACAGGCCAATGATTGAAGATAAATGCAGCAAAGTAATATAGATTTAAGGCTACTGGGTCCATCTGTCCTGGAATTTCCTGAATGGACAGAGCTGGGAGTGATATTGAACATTTAAAAAAGCAATTACATTTGCACCAAAGTGGATCACAACAGGCATGCAACCATGTGTTTTATGAATGGATCTGAAGCACATCTGAAATACTATACAATATCATTGTTTTCTTTCTTCTTAACCTCTTTGTTCAAAGGATCAGGATATCCTGGTGCTAACCACTGCTGGAAAATAATATAACTGCAACAACAATAGCATAGTACTTAAAAAGCTTTTCATGCCAGTTCAAGTGTTTAGGTAAAACATGAATATATTCAAGGAGAAAAAAGCTATTAAAGCAACACTTTAGAAAATATTTGAGAAACTCTTAGTAATACACCAATCTTTTTCTTTTCTTTTCTTTTCTTTTCTTTTCTTTTCTTTTCTTTTCTTTTC